AAAAAGCAGTAAATAAGAAATGAAAAGAGCCACTGATAACAGAAAATGCCCATCATGCCCTCTCTCATCAAGGGCAAAGGCAATGCAGTTAATCATTACCAGTCATATTTCTGAATGTAAAGGTTGAGAACCTTATACAGTTTAGGAAAATAAAAAACTATCAGTTAATAATTCCAATATAAGATTAAAAGGTGTACACCCCTCCCCTACATAACGAAACAGTGAAAAATGAAGTAAGGTGAACAAATGTTGATGAAAATCGAAGAGAAAAATGTATAGATGAAATTTATAGCTAAGAAAATGCATAAATAGCCATATGTTTGCTGGTAAGTAAACTTGAATACCCACAATTTCAGAACTAATTAATATTTTAAGAAGTATTAACAGTAACTCTAAATGAATAACGTATGTACTAAATGTATGAACACTAAATATATTTCATTAACAGGCAATAACAAGTGCTCCCTAGGAGAGACAGCAGTTAGTGACTGACTGCCGTGCTGAACGGTCCGAGTTTAAGTCCCGCAGAAGGCATGGGTGTTTGTAAATGTGTCTGTGTGATTATGGCAAAGCCTCGAGGGCTATCTGCCTCAGGGGAGGGATGCCTTTGTGGATGACTTTCTAAGGGAAACTGGCTCGTATACACGTTACACATGGAAAAAACCACGAAAACGCCCATGCAGCCAGCCCGTTCACGGGATTCGAACCTTGGATCGAACTACCAGTGTTCAGCGACTTTACTGCTCAGCTGCTGGTGGGCCCTGTTTGTAAATGTATAGTGTCTTTGTGGCATGAGTGCACTCTAAATACATGAAGAGTTGAAAGTTATTTCATGTGGTTTGGTTATACGGTGTAGAGGAGAGGCGTGGGAGACCCTCGTACTATCCCCCAGGGTACTCTCTCTCAAGACTAGGGGTGGAAGTACAAGTCCAACTTCCTAGAGGCTATGGTGACAATTCTTCCATGAAATAAGGACTCAACAACAAACAAAGCAAATAGGTGCTTGGTTTTTGGTTACACTTCTTACAGTGTGTTAGATTTGATCTACACTGTAATTTTTATTCAATATTTTAAAATTATTTATTCCAGTCATTGTGTTCTTTACTGGTACTGTTTAACTATTACTATTAAAATTTCATGTTCTAAAATTGACAAGAATTTTACTCTCTGCATAAATGCTGATTTTGCTCCCTCTGAAAAAATATTGTAAGTCCAAAAATTGGTTTCTTATATGGTTTATGCAATACATTTCTCATTTTTAAATTATTATTATCCTGCACTTTCAATTTGATTTTTGACCTTTTTCATTGTTTTTGAATCCACTCATTAGGAAAAGGGCATCACAGAAATTATGCCTGCTTAATACTTTACAAGTTTTCTAAATTTCTTCAATTATTTTTGTTTCCAAGTGTAAGATTATACAATATCTGTTAATTCATTTTACACATTTTGGTACACTTTTAAGAGCCTCTTCATATTTATCTAGCTATCAGGGGATAGATCCATCTGAACTATTGGAATGGATCTTTTCCTTATTTGGGATAGTGACCTAGCTTTATTGATTTCTTTGGGAATCTGTAACCAATTATTGACTCAAATTCTTTATTTCACCACCAATAATATCCAAAACATTTTTTTAAAAAAGAACGTTTTGTCAAATAGCCAATGTATGTTATTCACTAACTGAAACAAACTGTTTCAATGCTTGCCTTTTATAGTTTTCTTTGCATGTTTATGACTCTTTCTTTGTTTACTCACAGCTGTTTACAATTTTTCATTAATGACTTTTTTCCCTAATTTCACCCAAATATTTTCATCTTTCTTTAGTTTTTAGTTTCACAACGGTCAGATATCCCCTCCCCCCCCCCAGTTTCACAAAGAGTAAGGATGCATAGCCTTTTAACTTATATTGGGATAATGAATTCCTTATTTCTATTTTCCTAAATTACATATGGTTCAAACTGTACATTCAGAAATTTTACTGGTAATGGTAGATGGTATGTGTTCCTTGATGAGACAGAAATACTATATACAATGTCTATTACCAATGATTTCAATCATCTCTTATTTACTACTTTTTTCATCAGATTTCTTCATTCTTCAAATTCTGGTGGTTATTGTTTTGCTAACCTGCATAATGGAATTTTAATGGTGGATCCACTAGGAATAAAAAAATTGGCAGTCAAGGTATATTTAATTTAACTTTTATTTCAGTAAACATGTTGTGGCCACAAACAAATTGGCACATGTGTTGTGCCTATTCTAAAAAGCTTACATTTTTTATAGATTTGCAGCAAAAAGAAGCAGCAGACAGACAGCAGTCCGCAAAGCCAAAGTGGTGAAGCAAGTGCGTTATATTCAAAGTGAAATCTTTATTCAGACTGAGTTAGTTTTGGTTCTCAGTGCATTTTGATTGGATGGTTAATATTGCTCTAAAATTACTATTAGCTGCTTGAGTTTTAGTTTCATTTACATCATCAGAATTATGTAAGAGTCATAAGACACAGATTTTTCTCAAAATGACACAGTGCAAATAGAGGTTTATAATACAGAAGGGAATTAATTTTCGCTTCTAATTTAATCTTTTTACATATTCTTTACATAATCTTATATATCCCCCCCTTCAAAAGAAAGATTGGGGCAGCAGGGCGGAAGAAAACGCATTAGCACGTGAAATTTTAAAAAAATACAAATCCTGAAATTTTGAGCAAAATAATTATTTCCATAGTAGCAAGATATAAACTTTGATAAGATTTTAGAGTTCTATTAAAAATTTTCAGTCAAAATGTCTTTATGTTTTAGAGCCCACATTCTTCAGGTAAGGTTCCTTGTTATCACAGAATATTACAAAATATAACTTTTACATAATCATTACTTATAATTAAATGTAATGCACATAAATATTTATGATACTAATTTTCATACTAATAAATTATATTTTAACACCATAAATATAATAGCAGTAACAGTTCAGAAATTTATGGTTTCACTGTTATTATTATCTTTTATTTACAATTCCTGATTTTACCAAACTGGAAGGCCTAGCAAAACTTCTAAACAAACATATCCATCAACAGGGCTGTCCTCTTGAGCTAACCAGTGTGTTCTCTGCACTGGTGGCCCAGGGTGCCTAGGCAGTTACTTGAAAATGCCTCCTTTACTTGCATAAGGTAACTGGCCTTTGAGAACTGCACTAATACATTCCACAATAAAAAAGTATAATAATAATAAAACATTACACACATAAAATGAGACTCCAACATTATCTTACATGAAGGTAAAATGAACAACTGTACAAATGTAATTACAGGCCTCTGTTTAGGAACCAGTACTCTCTCAACATACTCTATACTTAACACACAATCACCCATAAGTTTTAACATGCAGTTACCATAATTTCATATTACTTATCTGTACTAATTTCACTTATTTTTTACATCTACTTCAATTTTAGAATAATTATAAAATTCGTATTCAAAATTTCAAAAATATAAAAACTTATCTTAATAGCCTTCCCTAAAAATAATTAAAAAATCTAAGAATTCTTTACTTGCTTTACTAAATTATTAGAATTGAAATTTCTAATTTCATTAAATTATATTAATTTACCACAGTGTTCATTTTTAATGTCCAATTTATTAAGGAAAAAAAAATATCAGTTCCCAATGTAGATTCAGTTATGCAAAAGCAGAAGCGAAAATAATTTTCTGGCACCTACTTTTAAGTGTAAATGTAATCCTATAAATGTTAATTTATTTGCATAAGAGCTGCATTAAGATATGCAGTTCGATGACCTTCAAAGCACAGGAATGATCTGAAACGTTAGCACTCGGAAAACATTCGTCATTTTACTATAAACAAACGCTGAATTAATTTTGAAAAACTGGCACTAGATTTCATTTTTAAGCACTCACAGCAAATCTATTCCTTTTTTTTTTTTTTTTTACATTTTTATATTGCTGTTGAATTATACATTGCACTTTTTAACAATCTAAATGTGATTTGCTAAAGAAAAAAAAATTTTCTAGGATATGAAATTCAAGCAGGTAAATATCAGCCCAGTAATGCAAATATACAGGTTATTAAGAAATCACAACCCATTAAAAATGTCACAGTTGCAAAGATTTTTAGGAAATATTAATGTATATCAGAAATTTGTTCAAAATTATGCTAAAATTAGAGCTCTTCTAACAAATTTACTTAAGAAAGATACCCCCTATAAATTGACTGATGAATGTCAAATAGCTATTCAAAAATTAAAAGATGCATTAACTTCTAGGCCTATTTTAAGTTTGTTTACTCCTAACTGTCCTTGTCATGTATTTGTTGATGCCTCTAAGGAGGCTGTTGGTCCTGTTTTAAAACAAGAACATTCTGTCAACTCAATTATAATATGTTCAGGAGCAGAAATTTGGATGGCATAAAATGCTGAAATGCCAATCCACAAGGAAATAAGAAATTTGGCAGTCAAGGTATATTTAATTTAACTTTTATTTCAGTAAACAAGTTATGGCCACAAACAAATTGGTACATTTATTGTGCCTATTCCAAAAAGCTTACACTTTTGATAGTTTTGCAGTAAAAAGAAGGAGTAGACAGACAACAGTCCAGCTAAGCCAAAGCGGTAAAATCAAGTGTGTTACATCCAGAGTGAAATCTTAATTCAGACTGAGTTAGTTTTGGTTCTCAATGCAATTTGATTGAATAGTTAATATTGCTGTAAAATTACTATTCGCTGTTTGAGTTTAATTTCATTTACATCATCAGAATTTTGTAAGAGTCAGTTGACATAGATTTTTCTCAAAATGATGCAGTGCAAATAGAGGTTACAATTTTTAGAATACAGAAGAGAATTAATTTTTGCTTCTAATTTAATCTTTTTACATATTCTTATATATATGTATACACTCATACAAATATATGCATACACATGTTACATTATTTAGATATATAATATTTATAAACAACATAACACATACTAATTAAAACAAAAGTCTTACTTTCATTACATGAAACCCAATAACAAGATGACTGATGCCTTTACTTCGCAAAGCTCTTCTGTCCTTTTGCATCAAAAATATCATGACTGTATCTTCATCAGTTTCCACATCAAAACGATACTACAAAAATTCAAATAGTTAAAGCATCAAACAGATAAACAAATCTAATATGTGGTTTTCTAAATGGTATGTGTACCACCCCAGGTATGCGAGCAAACTCTAATAAATATAAAATATATAACTGTAAAAACAAGACAAAGGACTAAGTTCGCCAATATAATAGATAAGTAAGTTCAGTGTTAAGGTCACATGTTTTCATTAATCTCTTAAATAAATTTACAGTGTAATTATACTATTAATTTTCATTATTAAATTAAAAATAAAATATCCTTAGTCTAAAAAGGACAGCAATCCTGATAACTGGAATTCAACTTCACTAGCTAAAACAAAGTGTGGCCCATGACATTAGTATATCTTTAACTGCTCACCATATGAACAAAAGTAGGTGATCAATCTTAAAGACTAAGAAGAATGTATTAGGGGCTGCAGTAACAAAGCATGTAATGTGAATACTAGATACAGTGATTTGGTTTCCACAAACAGACTTCATTCATGAATTTTCACATGGAGGTTGTAAGAAACAAGAAACAGCCAGGTAATGTGAAAATAATACAGAAGAGATAACTAGATGGATCATAAACTGAAAGTCAACAATTCCAAATTATTTACAATCTTGCAAAAGCAGTGCAGTTAGCATCTCTTTCTCACATGGCCTTTTAAATTCAACTTTCTCATTTGTACAGAGTCAGATATGAAGTTCCCCTCCTTCATAGCAAGAGTATAAATCAATAAAGACAATCAGGTTACCATTAACACATGCAAAATTCAAATTTTAGTTGGTATTAACAGTTAACTGAAAAAAGTTCTGTTTATCTCTTAAAAATGTATTATGCCTTCTATTTGAAATTAATGCCACAAGAAAAGCAGAATTTTACCAATTAAAATACAGAAAATAGTCTGCTTAAAAGGGATTTTCTTTGGCCACCAAGAAATGTGAGACTGGTACAGCTATTTGGGCAAAAACTTCAGTACCTTAAATGTAATATGCCAATACAGCAAACAACAGTATGACTGGAACAAAACATCTGGAAATTTCCAAAGAGGATACGAAATTTCGAAAGTTCTTGTTGTTATCAGAAAATGCAAAAGACTACAAAATAATGCATATGACACATTTGCCATGTGGTTGGAAGTCATCACCATTTATTTTAAATGCGACAATAAAAAGGCACTTAAAGCAGTAGAGGAATAATAAACCCGAATCAGTTGAAATGTTGAACTCTTTGCAGTACATAGATGATTTGTATTTTAGAGGAAATAGTGTTGAAGAGACATTTAAGCTGTTTTCTGAAGTTGCATTCATTTTAAAGGATGCAAGTATAATTTTGCAAAAATTAAAAACCAATCCTGAGAAACTGAGGTCATTGTGGATGCAGAATGGATTTGGTGAAGATAATTGTATTTCTGATTGTAAGTTGAAGCTCTCAGGCTTGAAGTGGAATCCGGTAAATGATAAATTTCCTTTAGATATAGCAGACTTATTGCAGAGTTCAAAGGATCTGAAGAGCACAAAGCATTATGTCTTGCATATTATGGCAATGATTTTTGATCCAATTGGTTTTGCAGCTCCATTTGTAGTTAAGTGCTTGATACAGGAAATTTGGGAACGTGGTATTGGTTGGAATGAGGAATTGCCATATGACCTTAAAATTGAATAATTGGTATTCTGAGGTTAAATGGATGAAGGACATTTCTGTTCCAAGAAAGTTATTTCTGTATTGTGAGAACTTAAATTCAAAAATGGAACTATACATATTTTGTGATGTGTCTGCTATAGCTTATGGTGCTGTAGTGCACTGTTATTACCTAAATGATAAGAGTGACATACCAGTGTAATTTGTCAAGTCAAAAAGCAGAGTAGTTCCTTTGAAAAAACTGGCATTGCCATTACTGTAACTAATGGCAGCAGTCATAGGAGCTAGAATAGGAAAGCATTTGAATGAGGTTTTTCAGGATCTTATTGATAAGTATGTGTATTGGACTGATTTCTCAGTTGTTTCATTTCGGATAAAGGGTCCTGTGAAACAATGCAAGCAGTTTGTCAGTAATAGTGTGGTAATAATACGACAGATCCTTCATAGCAGCTTTAAAACGATTCATTGCTAGATGGGGAAGACCAGGGGAAATGTACAGTGATTGGGGCACTAATTTTATAGCTGCAAACAGACAACTGAAATCGTACTGTTCTGACCAGAAAGTAGCTAGATACTTAAGAATTTAAGTGGAATTTCAATCCACCTTCTGCTTCACACTTTGGTGGACTGTGGGAAGCTGCAGTTTAAAAGCTATGAAATATCATATGAGAAGAGCAATTGTTTCTGAAGTTCTAACTTTTGAAGAATTTGCTACTTACTTGCAGAAGTCAAAGCAAGTTTAAACTAGACACTATTAGTAGCAATTTCAAGTGATCCAGATAACTTTTCCGTGATTATGCCTGGTCATTTTTTGATACGAACATCATTAAAGGGTATTCTGGAACCAAATATGTGCGATGGGAAACTAACACTTCACAATTGTTAAAAACCAGTTCAAATGTCGCAGTCCTCTTGGAGGAAATTAAACTTCACGGTCGAACAAAGTGGCTTCATGCAAATGTTAAAAATAAATGACCTAGTAATGATTAAGGAAGATAATAAACCATTCTTAAAATTGAAATTGGGACATATCACGGAAATTTACCCAGGTAATGATTACAGAGTTCATGTTGCAAAATTAAAAACTGCTGATGGTGAATTCAAGAGACCTATTCACAAACTATTTTACCAATACAGTTAACTATCATAAAAAATTTTTAACTTTAACCTGATATTCATTTTGAATTCTTGAAATTTAAATGTTATCATGTTATTAATTCATTATGTATTAATTTTGTGCAATTCTTTGTTTACATCTGTAAGTTACTTTAGGCTTAGTATTACTCATTTATATGCATAAACTGTTTAATCTAGAAATTATGTATGTTTACTAAGAATAATGTTAAGTAATAATTTCATATAAGAGGTAGTCTGAAGTCCTGAACGGCCATCCTGGGGAGCATATCGAGATCATCAATAATTTAGAATACAGTGCTATGAGTGACTTTATTTTAAATGTGGAGCAATTTGAAGGAGCAGATTTCACAGTATTAATTATAACTATTACTCACTGTTTTTAATAAACTATCTGTTGCCTTCTTTCGAGCGTGAGCAACAAAAGTTGCTCATTTCAAACTCTGGAAAGGTAAAAAAATCAACTGAACCCCTAGCAAAATTCTATTATTATGATATATTGAACAGAAGCCAGCAGTAATGAAAAATAATAAACTGAACATATTTTTACAATATGCTCTGTATTGTTGTTTTAATGATAAATAATAATATGACATAATAACTGCTCCCAACAATATTATCCAATCACTAGATGTTCTTTTCCTTACTTTTTAAGACATTAACATATAAAGTTTCCTCATTTAAGTCTAGTTTTTTATCACAATGGAGGAGAGTCACAGCTTGCAATTAGTGCATGTAAGTACTTTTTGTAACTAATATATCAGTAAATTCCTACCATTTCTAATATTTTTCATATTTCTGAATGCTTGTAATGTTGTTTTGTGATTTGCGATTCCGGAATGGCTTCACAAATGGATTAAAACCAACTTCATAGTTACTCATGGGAAGCAACATCCTGAATAACAACTGTCAGCATGAAATAGGTTGTGTTCATTATTAAAGGCACCAAGTTTACTTGATATAACAATTTTTTCCATCCTTCAGCAGTTTATTGCTTTTGTTGAGATCAGTACTCTGACAATATCCATGTTGGGGTATACTATACATGAACCAGGTTCTTAATTGCTATATACCTTGGCTATGTACATGACAGTCCATTCTTTTCAGTTCATGTATCTCCACATCTCTGAAGTATATTCAAATGACTCCACTTGATAGGTTAAGGCTGCTGGACTACGGGGCAGAATGTTAAACCCTTATAAAAGGAAGCTGCATAGTGTCTTTAATTAGATCAAGTGGGGTGGAGATATGTTGTTATTACCAAATAAAAATTCTGCAAAAAAACTTTGATTTAGTAAACAAAGTATTCCAAATTAAGGAATATTAAAAAATTTCCAAAATATTCCCTTTTTAAAATTTCTTAACAAATGTTTCTTAAAAATTAGTCAATTTAAGAGTCAAATAAGTTTTGTCCAACAATTATGATAAGTAAATTCATCAAAGACGACATGATTTTTTTAAAGAAGGGTCGGGTCTTTGTTGCGATGCATACCAAAGACAATCTATCCATTATCGCAGAAAATCATGACAAGTACACTATAAAAAGATAAAAGGTAATTTCACCGACCTACTAATTGTCTGAGTAACTAGCTACTAATGCCAAATTTATTGACTTTCAGGGTACATACATTGTTAATGAAACAAGTAGACTGCTTCATCTTTATTACAAGTAAGAGATAATAACAAATCACATTGGCAGACACTCTTACTGGCCTAGGCCAGTAAGAAGTTTCTAACAAAGTATGAAACAGAAATCGGAATCATTAGCTGAAACGCTTAAAAAGAAGTTTGAAGAATTAGACTCTGAAGCAGACAGCTTTCTAAAACAATTAATTTATTCTGTATAATATTTTTTTTAAATATTTCATCATTTACTTAGTCTACGATATTCCACTAGTTACTTAGTTTACATTATTCCATTATTTCCTCGTTTATTTTCACTCAATCTTTACAACATGCTAATACATAATTTATAAGCTACACTGTACATATATTTAACTATTTTAGTGTTTACTGATCCACACAAATATAAAAGAATACCTGTGGATTCTGAAGAAATGTGTTTTTGTGATTGAAACATCCACCTGCTCGATCAGTTTCAGATTTAGGAGGCCCAGCAGTCCATTTTCCTAAGAAACATGCTTCACTCCATGTTTTATTGAAGCTGAACCAAGATGTATTCACCAAACGACAAATCGACAAATCTGTGAAGTATTTGCAGAAATCATCAAATGTCATCCTATTGAGCAAAAAGAAAGATACTGAATAAATAAAAATCCAACACTGATATTACTAAAATCACTTAGTTATCTGAAAATAATGTTAAAAATTTTTAACTTGTATATGAATGCAATACTTCAAAAATATTTATATCATGAAGATGAAACATCAGCTGTCTTTGTACACTTTAAAGATAATTTACTAGGCAAAACTAAATTTTACAAAAAAAAAAAGGGGGTAAGAAAGAAAAGCCAAAATTTGTGATATACAATATGAAGATGGCTCTTTTGTAATAATTCAATTCAACCATGATTTAATTGTTCAATAAATAAGCTTACATTTTAAAGAAATTAAAGAACTGACAGAATCTTCTTTCTTAAAATATTAGAATTGGCATTCCAGTTAATAAAATTTGACTGAATCATTTTATTTTATTTATTTACCTAGAAATGTATTTAGAAATTTATTTATCTTTAATTAGAAACCAACCCATGGAAAATTAAGCTTACTGATGAAGTGATAAGTAGCACTAAGAAAGGCAAGATTTGCAGTCTTCTTATTTATATAAATGACACAAATTTTAATCCCACATTTACGATTAACAAATGTTTTAAATTGGCTTATTCAACTGTTTTAATTTTATGTAGTTAGATTACATTTTAGGGTCAAAAACCGATCAGAAATTAATGACATAAAATGATCAGAAATTTATGGTTATAAAATGATAAGAAATAAACTTGATTAATATATATATATATATATATATTAATTAATTTCCATTCACTAGTATTTTCAAAAAATTTTAACAGAAGGTTTCACTCAAATAAGAGCTCCACAACATACATTCCTCAAGAATTCCTAGTCCATCCCACTCCCATAAATTACCGTAATTTCCGGAAGAAACGCCGCGGCGTTTACGTGTTTAAAACTTAAATTTTCAGCGGGTGCGGCGTTTCTACCCATTCGGCGTTTAGGCGCACTGAAAATAAAATATTTCCTATGATGGTCATTGTACATAGTTTGGATGGCCTTGTCATTGTGCATAGACTGGTGCTGTTCCCACACAAAAGACCACTCAGTTGCTTTTTGCGAATGTTATTTTGTTTACATTCTTTCCCTTGAACAGACCTACATGCCTTATTCGTCCTAAACGAGATCTCAGAACAATAACATTCTTCCCCCTTTCAAATCAACATTCGCATCAGTTTGAATAGTCTCTCTCCTCTGTGATTCGATGAATCTTCCAGGACCCATCCTCTCCCCACCCCTGCCTTTTCTGCAATTTTTTTCAAAGGCGGACACAACTCCACCTGTCTCGCAATAACGAACTCTGACGTATTTCCCCTTCAGCATGAATGGATTTTCTTGCATTCTCCCAAATACAGATCCCATCAGTTTGGGTACAAGTACTTGTACTTGTTGGATAGTTTTTTAAGTAAGAAGGGAGAGGAAAAAATTTTTGAAAATGTCTCTAAACAGCACAGAAGCTATACATTTCTTACCTTTAGTTTATTTTTGAGTTATGGTTTCATTTCATGCATTTTTCTTAACTGGTGTCATATATCAGGACTTAGGTTGAGTTTTTGCATCTATACGGCCCACGACGATGTCACGCGCAATTTAATCTATTGCGACGTTTACGCTGATGCGGCATTTCTGTGTAATTTTAATTTCTTTCCCACCATTTTTCTCGAGTGCGGCGTTTACGCTGATGCAACCTTTCTTGCGGAAATTACGGTACTTCACGAGTCTTACCGACTGACATAACTCAAAGCACCCGCTGCCAATAAAGAATTTCGGAAACACAACCCTTCTGAGTCAGACGCAAAGAGAACACTTTGCCCACTTCCCACTAGAAAGAACGTAAGTTAATTAATACTTTTTCTGGCCTTTTATATCTTCATGTATATGCCCTTTTCTTATTATATATTTTTTTAATTTAAATTTTTATTTTTTGATTTGTTTTTGGAAAGATTGCATTATATTTCTTATATTTTGTAATTTTCTAATGTTTATTTCAATTACTTTTAATTCTATTTCATAATGCCAATTTCCAATGTTTAATTTTTACAAATAGTTTTGAATTAAAATGCATAAACACGAGGGTGTCGGCGGACAATTACTTGAGTAATATCAATTTTACTGCAGAAATTGCTTTTCACTCAAAATTGAATTAGCTAAAATGGTTAATCGGAATGAGTTCTTTGTTTCTCTGCACTGGTTCTTGATCCCTTCTATTCATGGAAATATTTGGCCTAACTTGAATTCCCGGTTTGGCGTCGCCTTATTACTCGAGTAAAGGACGAAACGCCTTTGTATTTATTTCTTAATTATTGTTCATTGAACGGGAGTTGGTTTGTTCCCCTTGAAAAGTCAACTAATTTCTGATCAATGGGCATGATTACTTGCATTTAATTTAATTACTTGCTTTTAATTACTATTTACAATTGAAATTTGTTATTTTTCATGATTAATTCAAGTCCCCCATTAAACATTTTTAAACAATTTAAAACAATTTTCTTAAAACATTTGAAATTTACTAACTATGCGATTCATTCTTTTAAGATAATTCTACTAAAATTAACCTTAGGAAATAATATAATCAATATTTCTTTAGCAAATAAATTATTATTAACTTGCAGCAATTGTGCAATTAGTAGAATAACTCGATTTTGCACTAAGTGAATTTAAGATCATACAAAATTATATATATATATATTTAAGTCCTTGCCAGAAAATTCAACCAGTGACGTTATCTAGGTTGCCTACGATTACTGCAAAGCACGATAGAGCTATCTGCCTAATGGGAGTTATGCCTTTGCAGAGGGGTTTTCTAAAGGAAGTTGACTCGTATTCATGTTTCATATGAAGAAAATTATGAAAATATCCATGCAGCTAACACATTCACATGGAACTCTACATTTTCCAATGAAATTTATTTAATAAGAATCATTAAATGTAAACTACTTGCTTAACAATCAAAATGTAAACTCCTTGGTCATACATTTTCTTTAATAAAGAAGCCAACCTATGAAAAATTAAGGTTACTGATGAAGGGATAAGTAGCACTTAGAAAGGCATGATTTTCTGTCATATTATATATCAATAGCAAAAATTTAAATACCACATATGCGAAACAAAAATTTTAAGATAACCCATTTAACTATTCTAATTTTGTGTTATTAAATTATGTGTTTTCCATATAATATTAACATACCTTGCACTAAAATGAGAAATGCTAGAAAAAATTATCATCAATCATTCATACAATATTCATATAATAGATGGTTCTTCACAATGTACTGAAGTATTAATGTAGAGGCACATATCTAAACTACATTTCTGTAACAAGGAGATGGTACTTAATAACTTCAAAAAAGCAAATATTTTAATATGTAAATGAAATGCACTCCACCGATTTTAATATATATTTTTAAGCTCTTTGTCGCTTTCACAAGCATCGGATTTTTCTCATTTACAGCTGTACAGTTTCGAAAATTTAAACACATATGCCAGAGCTCTAAATAATCAGACTAGCTGAAACAACAGCCCAAACAGATAGTTGAAAAGTTTTGACAACTGGATTGCCTTTTTTCTGCTAAAATATGTACATACTATAGTTCAAACGAGAGAATGTTTTATGTACATTTATTGCTTTTGATTTCAACAGGGATAATACAGTTTTAAAATAACTATTTCCATAAAAATATAAAACATACTGTTTCTGACAAAAATTAAACAATAAAATATTTCCATTTACTCACAAGAAGAAACAATTCATACTAGTTTCAAGTGAGCAAACAACTTTTAACTTTTTTTTTAATTATCCATGAATATGACCTAGAGATAAAACTTTCTAAATATAAGCTGAAAGCTTGTTTAGTTTACATTTAGAAAACAATAAACTTTTCATGGCTAAACAATGACTTACTGAGTAAGCAAAGAACATTAAGTCAATGACATCTTTCTACTGCAATTACATTTGCTGAATTTGAAGGCAATTAACGATTAATACAGCGATTAATACATTAGCTGAATTTGAAGGCAATTAATTTGAAGGAATTAATACAGATGTCTAATTTGCAAGCTCATGATAATATGTGCTATACTATGTAATCTTTCCATATATTTTTTAATCAATGACGCCCAAATAAATACACTTTTTAAGAAAAGCAATACATGCACCATTTAATAGTAATTTTTTTTTTTTTTTTTTGTTTTTTTTGTTTTTAATGGTATATTTACAATACTTAAAATATGTTTAATAAAAATCAAAGTATTCTCCATCAGGATACATAAGGTATGTTAGATGATTGTTTTTTATAAATTATAATGTTGCATAAAATTTTAATTACCAAATCTGATAATATTTTTTTATTAAATTGAAAATTACATTTATTTTGAATTACATAAAATTTATTTTGAATTATATCAGTTAATTACAGTCTTATTAAATATTGATTTAATCTGACAAGATATAAGTTATTGCTTTAAAAGTGCTCAGTTTGTTAAGAAATTACATATATACTTTGAAAGATAAATTAAACACCTTACATCATACGGAATAGCAACAGTTTTGAAACTAGACTTCTTTGTTACACTGCATTAATAGTAAACTTCTGTGATGCTAATACTTGCTAGGTCATATAAATCATAAATAGCATAAAAGCATAATGTAAGATAACAGCTAAAATAAAAGATAACAGCTCAAAAGACTCTACTGAAAGGAAACATGAGGGGCCAAAAATGGTGTAAAGACATCAAATCAGAAGTTATTCCCGAAATTCACAAACGTTTATTTGAAGGTGTTCACACATGAGGATCATTTACATTTCCTCAGATGAATATATAAGATGACTAAAAGCTCATAAAATCATACTATTCAATAGACAAGTCTAATGTTTTTCTAGTACACTTTCTCCACAGAGCATCTCAAAATTACTATTAAAAAAAAAAAACTCTTTTGCTCTTGATAAACATTAGTCAAACAGATCTTAACCCAAAACAAAATACTGTTCT